CATACATACATACCGTACACAATTTTACCACAAGAGACATTTTACTGCAGTTTTGACAATGAAATGTTTCCCCATTCCTTCTAGATAGAAAGATATTTGCTATTCAGGTTTTGGAGTTTCCTTTGTGTAGTTTTTGTTGGAGTCCAGGCGGACCAGTTTGGCACCTTCACATTGTGCCAACACAACGCTACTTACATAATGTTGTTTGACAAACGGACATCTGTTTATTCCATTTTACTGAGTTAGTGCCTGCTAGGACAAAATATCAGATTACCAACACAATACCTCACCTGTGCAAAGCACTTTTTTTCAGCCCTTAGCACCAAATGTATAAATACGGCAGTTGACGGTGAGTGACAGTATCCTGGCATGCACTGTTATGACATTTCTTTCAGTATGTTCTTATTTGAGCGCTTGTATCTAACTGATACTAACAACCTCGCCTGGTTCCTGCTGTTGCCTTGGCAGCGAGCGTCTGTACATGCAGATGGCAGATGTGATGGTGAAGGAGGGCTGGAAGGAAGCCGGTTACGAGTACGTCTGCATCGATGACTGCTGGCCCTCCCACCAGCGTGACGCCGAGGGCCGCCTGCAGGCAGATCCCCAAAGGTTCCCCGGGGGCATCAAGAAACTGGCTGACTATGTGAGTGATAGAGCTTTTTTTTTTTTTTTTTTTTTAAAAAGGGGGAAAATGAGCTTAAATGTCAGAATAACCAAATAGTAATTCCATAATTCCTTCATGTGCACTAAATAAAGGAGATAAGAATGATATTACAAAAAGCTAAACGGACTAACGTGGTAGGATTTATCTGCTTTTATTAAAGTTTTCAATTTAAGAGGTGCGGACTGAAAAGTTTTATAAAAGTTATATTTAAAACATGAACTCGTGTAATTCCAGTGGGTGCTGTGTTATCAGTTTTAGCATCGCAGCGAGTCCAAATTTTGTTCCAAGAAGTCCTCGTTAAAATAATCTAGAGGTTAAAGTGATTCCACGGGCAGATTGCATATTCATCCCGCAGTTATTTACATAAAGGGAGGAAGAAAACAGACGTGGGACTCGGGTCTCAGATTTAATTTAGCTGAAAGCAGCACATGAAGCGCAGAAGTTTCTCCATTGAAGTTTGCTCTTGTTCTCCCTCCTCACAAAGGAGAGGAGCAGAATAATTATGGCAGGCTGGTTTGTAACCCGGGCATCACACAGAGAGTAGTGGCAGCACAACTGGGAGGAGGTGTTCAGCTGTGTAACATCACCACCTACTGGTTCTAACACAGCAGAGAGGAAAAATGCTTTTTCTTTTACTTTTAGGTCCACTCTAAAGGTTTGAAGCTGGGAATTTACGCAGATGTGGGGCAGACTACTTGTGCTAGATACCCCGGCAGTCTGGGTTACTACGAGACTGATGCTCAGACTTTTGCTGACTGGGATGTGGATCTGCTCAAATTTGACGGCTGCTTCTTGAATTGGACTTTGCTGGGCGAAGGTAGGATTTGAACTCAAAACATTGGTGGTCTTCATGTGAGCAGCAGTAATATCAGCTGACTACAAATTTAACAAAAGCAAATTATCTTAAATATTTTTTGCACTGTTTTGTTTTTTCAGTTTCTCTATAAAGGTTTTACAAACTTGTAAGTAGGCCCGCAATGATAACAAATTTTGCTGGGCGATGAATTGTCTCAATTATTGCGATAAACGATAATATTGTTTGAAATTTGACAATAATCGGTCATTATTGTCAAATTTAAAATGAAATGGTTGCAAATTTGTTTTGCGTGTAGTACCTTTTTTTCAACCACCGGATGGCAGTATAAGACGGTTTGAACCGAAGGATGGATAGTGAGGGAGCGAGCAGAGTGTCTCTTTAAGAAAAATGGGAGGGAGGCCCCTAGACGTGACATGGGCTGTCTCTCTTTGGTTCTCAACATGGCAGACGCTCGGTGTGGAGCTCTTTAACATAGCATTTGTCACACAAAGCTTTTAATAAAAAAAGTTCTCAGCTTCTTTTTGCAGAGAAAAACAACTTTTTACACGAAGGCACGGGTTTCAACTGTGAATTTTGGAGCTTCGACACGACGGAGGTTTTTTCCCAAAGTCAACCTGTTAGAGCTCGTAGCTTAGCTTCTCAGTTTTGCTGCGTTTAACGATCCAAAAATGCGGTTTTGAACAGTTAAAATGGATTTTAAAGAGAAAGGGAGGGGTCGGTGAAGAGCACCGGAGTTGAGCTTTTTGTCGTCTTCAGTAGAAAGAGAGAGACATGAAGAAACGATAAAGCCGATAAATGAAAATGAGGTCGATAATTTTCATTTATCATACGATTAATTGATTTATTGTTTATTGTGATAGGCCTACTTATAAGGCAAGGTTTGAGCTAACGTCCCATTTGCTCTTTTTAAGGCTACATAAACATGTCCAAAGCACTGAACAAAACTGGAAAAAGCATCTTGTACTCCTGTGAGTGGCCTTTGTATGAGTGGCCTTTCAATCGGGTGAGAGCAACATTTCAAAACAAGTTATTTGTGGTTTACTCTGACATGCTAACATGTTTTCTGTGCCCGCAGCCAAACTACACTGCCATCCGAGAGACGTGTAACCACTGGCGCAACTACGTTGATGTGTCCGACTCGTGGAGTTCGATCAGGACCATCTTGGACTGGACTTCTTCTCATCAGGACATCATTGTCCCTGCAGCCGGGCCTGGAGGCTGGAATGACCCTGATATGGTACTCTATAATCAGTGACGTTTAAAATGTTACAGATGTGCACTATGTTGTTATTTTCTTTACTGTTGTGTTTAAAAGTTTTCTTAAAACAACAAAAGTATGGTTAAAATATCAAAAGTTCATGCTCAATAGTCCAGGTAAATAATCCAACAAAGTTCAGTCAGGTAATCTGGATGTTTTTTTGTTTTTTTTATGAGACGTTTCGACCTTCATCCAAAAGACTTCATCAGCCCGAGGAGCCACAACAAACTGAGTCCCACAAGCAGCACACTCCCATAGTGGACCAACCAGTTTGCTGGTGATAAGATGGTTTCTGGAGTCTGAGGCAGCCATGGCCAAAGTGGTTAAAAAAAAAAAAAAATCAAAGTTCAGTACAGTAAAAACAATTAAATGAAATAAAAAAGCAAATTAGACAAAAACTAATGTACTGATTAGCAAAGTTCAAAATAAATAAGAAATCTAAGCAGTCTGAAAAAGAGTGAAGGCTGTAGTTTGTAAATGTCCACCCTTCTCACATCATCACATTTATTTTATTTTTATTCATTCATCTAAAAGAAACAAAACATAAACAAGAGGAATTAATAGTAGTCATAACCAGCTGATTTAAACTTTTTTAAATGTCTGATCTGGAGGAAATGAAAATATTATTAGTATTTTCATTATAAAAGGCTTTGTGTACTACATATACTAAATATATTTTTTTTATTACTTTATTTATTCTACTTGTATATATATATATATATATAT